TGGGACCCGTGACTCCTGTGGGATTGGAATTTGGGAAACTATGTAAAACATATGACGTAAAAATTCTCAGAAAACATTTTATGACATAATACAAAATGTCATAAAACAGTTCCTGTGGTCAGCTTCTGATGCTGACTGAGCTATAGAGTTCAATATGAATGACATGGGCTATTTTCAAGGCAGATACTTCTCTGAATAGCTCCCTGAATTTTTAAGAACTTTTCCGGTGAAGGCGGCACCTTAGAAGCTCTGCCATTGTGGAAGGCACTGAGGAACCTGGTAAGAAAACATCTCTGAAACGATGACCCAACAGGTTATACGTTGTCTAGTATGTGTGTGTGTGTGTGTATACACACACATGCACACACACACAAAACCCTGATATTTATCTTTTCGAAGCCAAGAGAAACTTGAACTTCTGTCTACAGCCTAGTTTTCTGGGCCCAAATAATAGTGTGAGCCAATTTTATTCTCTGACACTTGTCCCTAGCATACAGTCACCAGCATTTGATTGTGTGAATATGAACAGCTACCCTCAGGTTTCAGAATGAGGCACACAAGAATAAATACAATACAGGAACATACATCCCCTGCCTTTAGTAAATATATTTTACGGGAAGGCAGCAGCGCCAGTTCACCACTTCTTCCCTTAACCCAGTGTTGTCCAAACTTGGCCACTTTAAGATGAGTGGACTTCAACTCCCAGAATTCCCCAGCGGGCGGGGGGGGCTGGGGAATTTTGGGAGCTGAAGTCCACACATCTTAAACTCACCAAAGTTGAGAAACACTGAAACAAACAGATACAAGAGTTTTAGTAGTATATACTGGGGAATTCTGGGAGTTGAAGTCCACTCATCTTAGAGTGGCCAAGTTTGGACAACACTGCCTTAACCTGTCTCCCCTCAGCCTACAGATTATTACAGCGCTGTAACTTTACGAGGTGAAACTCGGGTTTTCTTCTTTCCTCTCCATTCCGATGTTCCTATCCCCACCTTGGGAGACCAGCAACTGGATCCTCACCAGTGAGCTGTCCGACCTCTGGAAGATGGTGGGAACGGCATCGGGCTTCAGATAGCGAACTCCCCACCGGTATTCAAAGCAGGAGGGGGCAAAATGCTCACTGCATAAGTGCTCGTGTTTGGTGGGGACCCACTTCTCTTGGTTCATTTGGGACAGCCATTGCTGGAGGCGCTCAGGGCTGTGCAAGGGAAACCTGCCGGGAGACGGAAAGGAACGATCGGAATTAGTTAGAGGTAATTAAACATAAACACACACGGTTGAGACAAGTACGTATCCGGCCCTTCGCATTCCCCGTTCCCCTCCTGACACTCTCATCTTGTTTTCTGGAACTTCTTTCCACTCTTTGCAAAGCATCAGACGGTGGTCAGAAAAGTCAAGATGGCAACTGGGACATGCAGTCAAAGCTATGCCATTTCTTTTCTTTTTTTTGGAAAGCTATAGAATTAGGCCCTATCCAACACAGTAAGGCTTACTCCTGAGCAGACACACGGAGGATGGCACTCTTAAAATCTATTTTGCTGAAAGCACGGGCCTCTTGCTGCTAACCAGCCTGGCGTTACTCGAGAAATCCAAAGTCACGACGCTGCGCGTGGACCCGCATGGAGCCCCCTTTCTGGATTTCTCTCCTGACAGTCACCGGGCAGGTGGCAGCCACCGGACACCCAGCCGCTGCCCCTTTCGCCTGAGGACCACCCAGGCCCCCAGGGACGAGCCGCCACGTGCTCCAGCGTCGCTTGCTGGAAAGCTGGACGCGCCAACGCGGAGCCCGGCGGCCAGTCCCCGTTGGCGGGGCTGCCGGGCGCCCCAGAGCCACGTCCCCGCTCAGCGCTGGAGGCCTGTCCTGGTGGGGGGCGGGGGGCCCGTTTGGAAGCCCCCCACCTCCGCCCCTCCCATCAGAGCAGCTCCGGGACCCCAGAAGGGCCAGACGGGGGGCCTCCTGCCCCTTCCTGGGGGGCTGGCCCCCACGCACGCGCGTGCGTTGGCCCCCCTTTGAAAGCAAACCACGGGAAGGACAGAGGTCCGCCCCCCCAAGCGCCGGACTACAAAGCCTATCCTGCCGTGCCGCCCGGGAGCTGTAGTCCGGGGATCGCGGGGGGGAGGGAAGCCCCGCCCAGCCGCGCGGGTCCAAGGCGGGGCCGGCTCCCCTGCCCCCCCGGTGCTCGGCGCTGCCTGCCAAAGCGCCCCGTCCTTCCCGGAAGCTGGCTGACTTGTAGAAG